TGCAAAGCAATCTTGCATTCCAAAAGTTAACCTGACCATTTTCAGCATAATCTAAAATTTGCAGCCTCCTTTAAAATATCCCATAATAGAACACACTTCAAAAACACATTAAGGCATTACTACTACAGAATTAAAACCCTTTAGCTTATCAATGTTTTTTACACATCAGATTTGTTAATTTCTTTATTATTTCCTCCTTCTATAAGTTGTATATTACTATCTTGGAAGTCCTACCTACCTAACTCCATTTTAATTTAATTATTCTAATCATTATTTAATCATTTAACTAGTTTTATTATCAGAATATCATACAATAAGTTGGTTCTTGGACTAGATTAGTTCAGACGAACTATTTTCCCTGGACCAAACCAGAAAATTTCAAACATCCTTTCTTTTTCTTTCTCACATTGTTTTCTGTTGTTGTATATTTTCTGGTGAAATAAATCAATCAATATTCAATGTTCTAATTTTAGTGAATATTTTTGTCATTTTTGGGAAAAAAAAATGCTATTTTCAATTATACAATAGCTATATCAGTCGAAAGAGGAAATGTACAACTTCCCTTGCTATCACAGTATTTGACTACAGTACTTGTCTTTGATTCAAATCTTTCACACATTTTCAGGTTAATGCCCTTAGCAATAATGCTATTGACAGGTTACAGCAACTCTGGGATGGCAGTATTCTACTCAAATTGGCCTTATCTATGTAAGTACAATATTTCAACCAATAACTATAATAGCATCTTACAACCCAATTACAGTGTTCTATCAAAACCAGGTTTCATTTCTCCCATGCAGTTTTTGAACACCACTTTGTAGTGAAAACTATAATCAAGTGCATCAAAGGTCAAGACCATCAATGACGATGTTTTTTGTTCCATCCAATTTTTGGTTTGAATATATACATGTATGAAAAGTTTTTTTTTACAGTGGACTCGAGCAAGATTCATACGGTGAGTTAGCAATCTCCCTAGGAAAGTCTCTACATGTGTGACCATTGTAATATAGGTTGGGACTTTCTAAATGGTGCTATCAAATGATTAAATATTATGAAAATGATTTGCTACGTTTGGCACTACTTGGTTTTGGACAAATCAATTTTTGTCTAGGTACATTCTGTGGCCAAGTTGTTGTCTGTGTTTATATTGCAACATTGTTGTGACTATACAAAAAAAGTTGTAAATTATCCGTACGATTCTTATATCTGGTGGTGGTTCAACCATCTGGGAGAAGTGGGTGGAGTTATTGGAACATTGATAAGGACTTTCCCAGGGAAGTTGCAAGTTACCCGAATGAATCTTGTTTGCACGCATTGTAAAATGAGTTCAAATACAAGTCATATTGATATAAATATGCGTGTTGATTTGTTTTCATTTTTCTCCCAAATAACACCCGCATGTATATAATTTGTCATCTTTTTAGTGATGGTGACATTGAAGACCATGAAGACCCAAAAGAAAGACTAAAGTCTTTGGTAAATTATCTGCAAGGTAAGAAAATGAAATGTTATTGTACTGTCTAATCGGGTGTTATTGTATCTGGTATAGACAATTCTCTGTCTCCTTCCAAAACAAAAAGTGTTGTCTCTCGCTTTGGTATCACATGTTTGTATGCTCAAATTTGAATATGTAAACGAACATGCCATTCCTGAGGTATGTAAATGTGTCGAAATGGACATAGTGCGAGTGGTTAGTGCTAGTAGCACTAATCCGAAAAACTACTAGATCTAGTGCTAAAATGGCACTAGATCTAGTGCAAAAACGGCACTAGATCTAGTGCAAAAATGTACATAGTGCGAGTGGCATTGATGTTGCGTTGTTAACGACGTCAAGACATCCCGTGATTCTCTGAAAATAAATTAATATTTACGTAAAACTATCTTTTATTCATTGGAAATGTGCTACAGTGGGAAAATTGAGAATGTCATTGTCCACGTTTGTCGTAATACTAATAGACCTTTGGAACAACGCGATCGGCCGGGAAACTAGCTGAAACAGTGAAACTGCAGGTCTAACTGCGCAATTTTTACAAATTGTGAATAGATATACTGTATGAAATGGTATTGTGGGGGAAGTCCCGGGTCCCAGTAAAGCTCGGTGGGTTGTGCGTGTACTGCGATTTTCACGCAATCCTGTTGTTACATTGTATCATGGAGGAACTAACAAAATATGATGTAACCTCGCCGATTTTTTAATTTTTTAACGTGATCATATTATGTATGTCTAGA